AAGGTAAATGGGATAAAAATAGATATGACATACAATGAATTGAGATTTGGAAAATAAGGTTTGTATAATTTAGAACTGTCAGGTAATTAAAGAGAAAGAAGGTAATTTAAGAAAGAAGGTACTGTGTGATATAAAATATTAAAGCAATACCTAAATTGAAATTTTATATAAAATGTGTTTTTTCTTCATTCAAAGTAAAAGGAGATATTCCATAGTTAGATAATGTTAAGCAGGATGAGTATCTATTTATTCTTAGAAATATTAGGACCAAGTATTATTATTAATATCAAAGAGTGGCCAATATCTTTGAAATTGCCACCTCATACAAATTAGACAGACAAAATATTTATTTGTATATTTCCATGCTGCTTCTAAAATATAAGTAAAAACATGAGCAGGAGGAAATGCTAGCAGTAGGCTGAGGCCATACAACAAGAATGGTCTTTTTACATACAATCTTGATAAACAATATGTAAAATAGCAAAGAATATTAAATCTGCATTTTATATGCCATCATTAGCTCCATTTTAGAGATGGAAACAGATGTAATAAAAATGAAATAAACTAAGAGAGATAGGAAAGGGAAAAACTAATTAAAATCTTGGCTTCAGAGCATATACTAAGATCATGATTTCATTTATATAAATTTTTTAAAAAATGCAAATTAATTGATAAGAACCAAAAAATAGATTGGTGATTGCCTGGGGATAGAAGTGAGATTCAGAGGGGCATGATAAAATTTTGGAATGATAAAAGTTTTCATTATTTTAATGTAAATAATACTTTTTAAGGCATAAACATTTATAAAATTATATAATTTATGTACAATTATTATATATATTATATTCAATAAAACATTTAAAATGGATTGACTTGTGTATTAAAATAGATAAAATCTGTCTACATGAACAAAAATGAAGTTAAAAATGAATGAATTTTCAATGTTTAGCATCTCAGATATCTAGAACAAAAGACAATATTGGGATGCTTGCCATTGTCTAATTTTTATGTCTGTGGATGTGGAAGGGATTGTGTATATGTTTATCTCAGGGAAAGTGTAAACAGACATCAAAGAGCTATGTTCAGTCTGAGTATACTAACAGATTCCGTTTGAAGTAGCATATCATGTAAAAGCATGAACATTTAGTCCCCCCAATTATAAAATAATTGAGCAAGGAACATATTGCTGTACAAGAAATGTATATATAACCTTTAAAGAAAAATAAGCTTAGGATATGTTAGAAGTAATGTTTTACAATATATTCACAGTAGAAATTACGTGGTGTAATATATAAGTTAAATTATATATACTATATAGAACTAAGTAAAATAATAGACAAAAACCACAAAGTAAAAATATATTATGAGATACCAGGGAAGTATACACACAACAAAAGTAGGGTATTGTGATTGTAACAATCACCTACTTTTTAAAAACTGACATAATGTACAACTAAGAAATAAACACTTCCAAATTGAATATCACAATAATTAGCATATTATTTTTGTATGAGGCCTTTCATAAATATTTATTCTTTTTATTATCCAAATATTTCTAGTAGCGGTGGAGTGATTAAGAACTAAATTTTGAGGGGCTGGGGTTTTGGCTCAGTGGTAGAGTGCTCGCCTAGCACACGTGAGACACTGGGTTCAAACTTCAACACCACATAAAAATGAAATAAAGATATTATGTCCACCTACACCTAAAAAAAATAAATGTTAAAAGAATTAAATTTTGAAAAGTATCCAAGAAACCCTCCAAGTAGATAACTTGAGAATAAAAGCTGTAAGTGAGTCACATTTGACTAATATTATGAGTCAGAACAGAGGTATTTTCTAAAAGAGTCATAGTTGCCTTAAACAAAGGCCAAAGCTTTTTACCTTTAGGATTTAACCTCTGATTAATTACTTTTTTAATTTCATGGAATACAAGCAAAGAGTATAAACAACACTCAAATAGACAATAAATATGAAAAGATATTCAATAATATCTCTAATAAGAAATATAAATACATAATATTGAGAAATTAGTTTAAATATATTTGTTAAAAATGTGAATTGTGATTACCTCTTGGTATACATTTAATTACTTTTAATTGCTTCTTTGTATTTCATATACTGTCTGACTTTTTTTAAATTGACATATATTATTTTCACAAAATATAAAGTCATTTTAAAACTGCCTTATAAGTTTTTTTAATAGAAAAATTATGGTCAAATGATTAGAAAAGAAATTTAGTAATAGACCAAGTCAATTCAGTAATGTGATAAAGGTGGCATTTCAAATAGGTATAGAACAGAAACATTATCATAGTTCTGTATTAATTAATTAGCTAATAAAAAAATTTTTGACTTATTGACTCAAAAATACTAATTCTTGGTGGTACAAACCTTAACATGGAAATGAAATCATTAAAGTACTATAAAATAAAAGAACATCCTTTAAAAAATCCATCATTTTACCTAAAAATAAGTGGCAAAACAATATTCACCGTATAACCCATTAATTTAAATGATTTTTCCTATGGTATATGTTTTGAGTAAAATTATGAAATGAAAGGATACACACATATAGTAAGTGTTATTTACCATTATATCGCCATCCTCTACAAGTGTTCCTGGCACATACGTTGGTACTATGTATAAAATGATAAAATGGGCATAAACTTTAGTCTACCACCCTATTTCTAGGAATTCACACTATATTGATTTTCTCAAGCGTGCATGTATTCATTCTCTAGGTATCCAGGGACATTATTTAATAACAGGGTGTGTGTTTATAAAGAGAGAAATGGTGGGGCTAGTTTGTGGTTCAGTGGTAGAACACTTGCCTAGCATGTGTGAGGCACTGGGTTCGATTCTCAGCACCGCATATAAATAAGTAAGTAAGTAAATAAATAAATAAATAAATAAAATGAAGGTCCATCAACAACTAACAAAAAAATATTAAAAAAAGAGAGAAATGGTGTCGACACAGCTTCCCTACAACAGAAATCTGGTAAAATAAATGAAGACAATTATTTCCATGGAATATATATCTATTTAAAAATAAGACATTATTTGCCATGAAAATTTTCTACTTGGAGTTTCATCTTTGCAATGTTCATATATTTTGAAAATTGGAGATAAGTAAAAGTAAAATCTTTTACAAAATCAGAAAGCATTTCCTAACTTTTAAAAATATGTGACTAAATGACAAAACACAAATTCTATAATAAGAAGTAATATAATGGTTAATCTAAATTTAATATCTCTTTCCCCATTTGAAATGAATAATACATTATATTTTATAATTTAATATACTACTTGTATTCCATGACTAAGTTTAGATAGTGAATGTGGTTTAGTAGATTAGGTTCTACATTACTATGCCAAATCATCTCTGTGGATTTTTATTCTATAAAAATATAAAGACATCTTCCAATTAAATCTCTAAAAGACTATATCCGTGAATTTCTATTCAAATACAGTTGGGTATTTTTATGTCATTCATAAAAATGGGCTAAATATCATCCTTACCTTTCAATGAAAAGTAAACACTGGTCTTTTTGGTTGTACCAAAGGAGTTGATCTGTAGCAGAAAAGAATCCTGTAAATAAAAACAACATATATCTGTTTTTAAACTTCATTTTACAAAAGTTTATTCATATACTCCAGGACTTGTAAATCATTCTTAAATATGGCTAAAATTTTACAATATAAGAAGGAAACTGGTGGCAGATGACATCGTATACACTGGCAGAGGATGCTTTCATTAGCACAAATTCCCCCTCCCATCCTGCAGTTTGTGGAATTGAAACCTGCTGCACTAAAGTATAAAACAAACCGTTTGCTTTTTAACAATACTTCCTAACATTTGAATACCCCATTGCTTTATCTAAAAGGTTGTTGCAAGCATTGAAAAGGGCTTCGTGGCAATTCAGCAGCAAGGTTGGGGTATATTATATGACAGCTTAAAAAGAGAAATATAATTTTAAAAAATGGTGTAACCGACTCACAGCAACATGGGTTCGCAAACCTTGTAGATGGATATAAACCAGGCTTGCCAAACATCACAGACAGCACTTATTAAATCTGCTACGTGGAATGCAATATGCCTGCTGTCTAGCCCCTCCCCCTCTGCCAATAAACGACTCCCCCTTTTTTTCCAGTGTAAAAAAACACATGCTCACAGGATATTTAGAGGAACTCAGGTTTGTTTTTTTAATCACCCAGAGTCCTACAACCTAATGACGCCATTCAGAGCATTTTCATCCAATTTTTTTTTTTTAAACAGCTTTTTGTTAAGAGGCCCGTGACCAACTCAGGATGGGCGGTTGGGAGAAGGAAAACACTCCTCTTTTTCAATTGTTAGGAACTATAGCTGGCATTTTTACCTCGTGTAATGTTTTGTTTTTTTTTTTTTCTCTCTTTGAATTATAAAATTATAAAGAAAAAAATTCTGAGTGGGGGTGGGGGAGAACGTCTTCCAGGGGTGTGTGCCTCCGCTACCAAGGAGCGTTTGGGAAGGTGGGTGGAGCCGGGGGGGGGGGAGGGGGTGTTGCGGTAGGTCATTCGTTGGGCGTAGGGTTTGTCAATCAAAGTTGCCCAGCGAATGAAGAACGAACTAAAGGCACACTGGGAACGAAATTAACAGGAGATCTGACTGCAAGGGGAGGGGGCTCACGTTTTGAGCCAAGAAAAGAACTCAGGATCTCACACTGCGCCATTGGACTGCGGCACGCCTCGGTGTGCTTCTGCTGCAACAGGGAGAGGCCCTACTGCCGTGGCTCTCGCCCAGGTCTCCATTGCCGCTGCCACCTTAGAAGCTGCTACTACAGCACCGCGGCTTGCGGCTTGCAGTCCCGCCCCGCCCTGAGCTGCAGCAGCGGTCGCCAGTGCCACCTCCGCAGCCCGGGCCCTCACCGTCGCCAGCCAAGCATCCGTGAGTCATTTTCTGCCCATTTCTGGGTGCGCGGTCTCTGGTAGTCACCACCTTAAGAGGTTTGCGGGATTGCAACATGGCAGAAGCGGATCTTAAAATGATCACGGAACCTGCCGCCCAGGGGGTTGCTGAAGAAGAGATGGCTAGCTCAGCTAGTGATTCTGGGGACGAATCTGACAGCAGTAGCTCTAGCAGCAGCACTAGCAGCAGCAGCAGCAGCACTAGCAGCAGCAGCAGCGGCAGCAGCAGCAGCAGCGGCAGCAGCAGCAGCCACAGCCGCTTGTATAGAAAGAAGCGGGTACCTGAGCCTTCCAGAAGGGCGCGGCAGGCTCCCTCGGGGACAAATTTCGTGGATAGGCTGCCCCAGGCAGTTAGAAATCGTGTGCAGGCCCTCAAGAATATTCAAGATGAGTGTGACAAGGTAGATGCCCTGTTCTTAAAGGCAATTCATGATCTTGAAAGAAAATATGCTGAACTCAATAAGCCTCTGTATGATAGGCGATTTCAAATCATCAATGCAGAATATGAGCCTACAGAAGAAGAATGTGAGTGGAATTCAGAGGATGAGGAGTTCAGCAGTGATGAAGAGGTGCAGGATGACACTCCTAGTGAAATGCCTCCCTTAGAGGGTGAGGAAGAAGAAGAAATGCCTAAAGAAAACTCTGAGGTGAAGATTGAAGAAAATGAAGTTCCTAAAGAAATTCCTGAGGTAAAGGATGAAGAAAAGGAAGTTCCTAAAGAAAGTCCTGAGGTAAAAGCTGAAGAAAAGGAACTTCCTAAAGAAATTGTTGATGTAAAGCCTGAAGAAAAGGAAGTTCCTAAAGAAATTCCTGAAATAAAGGGTGAAGAAGCAGATTCTACAGATTGTATGGAAGCAACTCCTGAAGAAAAAGAAGATCCTAAAGAAGCCCTCCAGGCAAAGGCAGAACAGGAAGAACAACCTAAAGTAACAGAGCCAAAGGCAAGGTCTGCAGTAAGAGAGGCTCATAAAAGAGTTCCTGAGACAAGGCCTAAAGAAAGAGTGAATATTAAAAGAGCTCGGAAGGGGAAACCTAAAAGAGAAGATCCTAAAGGCATTCCTGACTACTGGCTGACGGTTTTAAAGAATGTTGACAAGCTTGGGCCTATGATTCAGAAGTATGATGAGCCCATTCTGAAATTCTTGTCTGATGTTAGTCTGAAGTTCTCAAAACCTGGCCAGCCTATAAGTTACACCTTTGAATTTCATTTCCTACCCAATCCATACTTCAGAAATGAGCTGCTGATGAAGACATACATAATAAAGTCAAAACCAGATCACAATGATCCCTTCTTCTCTTGGGGATGGGAAATTGAAGATTGCAAAGGCTGCAAGATAGATTGGAGAAGAGGAAAGGATGTTACTGTGACAACCACCCATAGTCGTACAACTGCTACTGGAGAAATTGAAATTCAGCCAAGAGAGGTTCCTAATGCATCATTCTTCAATTTCTTCAGCCCTCCTGAGATTCCTAAGATTGGAAAGCTGGAACCACGAGAAGATGCTATCCTTGATGAGGACTTTGAAATTGGTCAAATTTTACATGATAATGTCATTCTGAAGTCAATCTATTATTATACAGGAGAAGTCAATGATACCTACTATCAAGATGGCAGAGATTACGTAAATAGGAAATACCGAAAATAAAAAAGCTGGCTGAAAAAATTTTCAAGAATCTTAAAAATGCAAGCAAGCAGAAGTGAAGCAGGTTTATGTAGCCTTGAAATAAATAAAAACCTACCCTATAACCTGAACACTATTACTCCTTATAAATGTCTTGTGTTTTCCTATGTTCTTAGCCCATTTAAAAATTGTTATATAAAGTGTCTTAAGTATCAGTTTATTCTATTGAGCCTGTTATAGTGTAATATTCTTCAAAATATGTAAACTGTTGTGAGTTATTTAAAGCATGTTAGTTTGGTGCTACAGAATGTTGATTTTTGTGAAATCCTTTTGTCATGTTCCTCTTAGATTGTAGCTGTGAAAACTGTCAGAATTATTAGAAAAATATTTGCTTGGAAAAAAAAGTTCCTGAAGTAACAATGCAAGGGTTTTATTGTTATTTTTTTTCCTTTTTCCAGCCCGGAAGTCTAAGGGTTTAAATCTGCTTGCACTAGCTGTGCCTTCATTAATTTGCTATAGAAATACACTACTTATTGTTAACTAGAACAGTGCATTGTGAAATTTGACTGCTTGAAAAAAAATGAGTATACTTTTAAGAATGTCTGTCAAAGCTACATTTGATTTATATGGATTTGTTTATGTGAATAATAGTTTATAAATCAATCATAATGAAGTTATTGTTTACCACTAAGGTGTTAATATGACATAGTATTTTTTAAAAAAAAGTTTTATCACATTGTGTAATTGCATACTAAAGGTATCACATTTTCTTTGTATTATGTTTTACTTTACCTTTCACTGAAAATGATTACTTTACATTATTTGATACTTGTTTCATGATCCTTTATTGCAACCTAAAATAAATAAATGTCAAATAAAGTGTATGATGGTATTAAAATCTAGTATTTTCTCCTAATTATAAAATTGTGGTACTTAGCTGAGAAAAAGTAAAATTTAAAAAAACATAACTTTTTAACATTCTGATATATTTCCTATATCCTAGTTCTTTTTAAGGATGCACATTCAAGTTATTGGAAAGAAATGGGATAGGGGAGGGGGGAAAAGAAATGGGAGAAAGAGGAGAAAAATGGAAGCAGAGGAAGGAGGTGAGGAGGGTGGGAAAGGGGAAGATTAGGGGAGGAAAGGGAAGGGGAGGGGAGGAGGGTAAGAAATAGAATGAGGCGGGGAGGAGAACTCTGGGAAGGAGGGGGAGGAAGGCAGGGATATCTCATCCAAAATGGCCAACTGTTTTGATTTTTTTTCCCCATGACCAGAACCACTGTTCACCTTGACTTGACTTGACCATGGCTCTATTTCTCTTATAGGTAACATAATGGTCTCATCTCCTATGTGCTGTACTGTGTAGCTGGTTACAGGGTAATTATATCCTGAAATCTTGGTTTGAGACTACTAAGAAGATAAGGCCCTTTAAACTCAAAGGGCCTTTAAAAGGGCCTTAGCAAAGAACTTTGCACTAGGCATGAAATCATAAGCACAGCAAATGATAAAGTATTATCTTATTTCACATTCTAATATTTTCCTTCAAGATTTTACAGGAAAGAAGTATGACAGGAGGATGACAGATTGAAGACTTTCTGGGTCACCAGGTTAGAAATTAGCTAATAATCTTCCCAAATCCCATCATATATAGTTTTTTTAAAATTTTTTTATTGATTTAAAAAAAATAAATGACAGTGGAATGTATTACAATTCTTATTACACATATAAAACACAATTTTTCATATCTCTGGTTGTATATAAAGTATGTTGACACCAATTCATTTCTTCATACATGTACTGTAGAATAATGATGTCTATCACATTCCACCATTCTTGCTAGTCCTCTGCCCCTTCCCTTTCCCTCCTACCCCTCTTCCCTATCTAGAATTCATCTATTCCTCCCATGCTCCCCCTCCCTACCCCACTATGAGTCAGCCTCCTTATATCAGAGAAAACATTCGGCATTTATTTGTTTGGAATTGGCTAACTTCACTTAGCATTATCTTTTCCAATGCCATCCATTTACCTGAAAAAGCCATAATTTTATTCTCTTTTATTGCTGAGTGAAATTCCATTGTGTATAGTTTAACATCTTGCTTTTGTATTTGCTTAACAATATTCTGTCCTCCCATGCATATAAATGTAAAAAAAAATGCAAACCATGATATTCTATATTTAACACATGATGTATACTTTGATCTTTATGTTCTTTGTGATTTAAACATCAGGAAGCAATTTATTGATTTTATCAAACTATTGAACTTTTGAGAGTGCTTATTTTAATTCTGAGATTTTTGCATTCATGAAGGACAGGATGGACTGGAGACTATCATGCTAAATGAAATAAGCCAGACCCAGAAAATCAAAGGTTGAATGATTTCCCTGATATGCAGAAGCTAGTCCAAAATAAGGAAAAAAGAAATGGGTGGGGGGATCAAAATAGAAGAAAGATTAGTAGAGGAAAGGGATTGAGTTGAGGGTGAGGGAGGAGGGACAGGATAAGGGAAGAACAATAGAATGAATGGACCTAACTTTCCTATATACATATATGAATATACCACAGTGAATCTCACCATCATGTATATTCACAAGGCACTAATTATTTTAAATACTATAAATAGCAGAAGGATCAGTACAATAAAGGGAAGAGAAAGGGGAGGGAGGGGTGAAGGGAAGGGGAAGTGCTGGGGACTGAATTAGAGCAAATTATATTCCATGCATTTATAATTGTATCAAACACTTAATGCTATTTATGACTAAAAAGAACTAATAAAAAAGAATCCAGGGCTGGGGTTGTGGCTCAGTGTAGAGTGCTCACCTAGCACATGTGGGGCCCTGTGTTCCATCCTCAACACCACAGAAAAATAAATAAATAAAAGTATTGTGTCCACCTACAACTAAAAAATAAATATTAAAAAAAAAAAGAAATCCATCTGGAAGATTCACTTTTATGCCAGGGCCAAAAAGACAACTATAACCATTATGGTGTACCTGGCTCCCTGTGGCTGGATAGGTTTCCAAGTTAGATATATACCATGCTTGCCATATATCACAGATAGCAAACCCTTAAGACTTTTAAAATGGAATGCAAAATCCTTATAGCCTCTTAGAACTCTTACTAAAGTATTTAATACCACCCTCCTCTGTACTCTTCATAATTCAGAAAAAAACACCCAGAAGCACACTACACTAAGATATGCCCTGCCTGTATATTGGTGAATTTTCTCTCCTTCATTGACTCAAATGGAAAGGCAAATTAAAGTTGGATGAATGTAAGAGAAGCTAATTGGAAAAACAGTTTACCACTATTTTTAACTTTTAGGTTGAAGCCTAGAGACTGAGGTATTTCTCCATCAGTAAAGTTAGAATTCCAGAAATGCAAGTGGTCTGTACTGAACACTTAAACCCCTTTAGCAGGTAGAAGAAGGTAGGTAGAGCTGGGGAAGTAGTTGGGCTGAAACATTTATTGGGCTGCACGTTTGTCTATCACACCTGCTTAGTCAATGAGTAATGTTACAAGGAGAAGCCCAGTGGGAATGAAGCTAATGAACTGAGGGCAGAGGGCGTTAGAAGTGCTTTACTGGGTCTTTTCCTGCATGCTCCTTCTGGTGCGCTGTTTCTTTTTGCTGTGACCCAGAACTGAGACCAGCTGCCCCTTCGCTGTTCCCAGCCCGACCCAGGATGTGGCCGCTGTCCCTATCCCCTCTTCCTCTGCAGTTGCCGCCATCTGCTCTTTAATGAGTTCATTCCTGTCCTTAGTTAGGCACTGAGTATCCAAGAATCACTCTGAAATGTTTGTTATTTTCCTTTAATTTGGCTGACTGAGATAACAAGGGACTTTTTCATAAGCAGCGGCAGCAGAGGCTGCTGAAGACATAATGGGAAAACTTGAGCTGAGCAAAGAAAATGTCAACACAAATGATGCAAATGCCTCATTCTGACACCTAGAGTGCTTCAAGCCCGCTGTGCCACGCTGTGTCCCCACGTTGGTCTATTTGCCCTTAAAAACTGCAGGAGTAATGTGTTAAGATGCTGATCAGGAATTGCAGGCGCTGGGGGAAAAGTGTAAAAACCCTCTCTTGTGTTTGAGGCTCCCGGTGCATGTATAAGGACAATGTTCAGTTATACCTAAAGGTGACAAGCAAAATATTGTGAAAGTGAAGTGGTTTTGAGTATCGGGGATCCAGATTTTGAGGTGACTGGTAAATTTGAGGGAAAAAAAAGAGGGATAAAAGTTGTAAAAGTGAAAATGAATTAGAAAAAAATCCTTTAAATACAGCGTATCTGCTGACTTTCTTTTTAAAAAAGTTACACATTTATATTACATTTGATGAAATAAATATTTCAAAGCTAAGGTGATGAAAAAGATAGCTATTGTTAGATAAAATTTGATCCTTTCCTCTTTGAACACTTAAAAAAAAAAGGGATTATGCTGGGCATAGTCGCCTGAAATCCCAGTGACTGCGAAGGCTGAAACTGGAGGATCAAGAGTTCAAAGCCAGCCTCAGCAAAGGCAAGGTGCTAAGCAACTCAGTGAGACCCTGTCTCTTAATAAAATACAAAATAGGACTGGGGATGTGGCTCAGTGGTTGAGTGCCCCTGAGTTCAATCCTTGGCACCTCCTCCCCTAATAAGAGATTGTGGTCATGATTCAGATTTGTGAAGGATATCAGACCAGAAGAAATAAAGAACACCCTTCTAAAAGCAAAAGTAATCACCTTTTAAATGGAACACTCCAACCCCAAAAATGAGTTCTCAAAACCTTTATTTTCTATAGTTTTCCTGAAATCTTACTATGCATGAAAGTGGGACCTATAGTGGAAAATGTCATATTCATTTATGACCTTGTAATGACTAGAACTTAATTAATTGCTTTTCTAATTCAGAGACAAGAATTGCCCTTAACAGGAGACTTTTCAACTCAAGGATTAAAGCAAAGAAAAAAGCTGGCTGAGATCCTGACCCAACTATTCATAAGATGAAAAAGCTGACTTTTCAAGGTCTGGAATATATTTTGAACATGG